AATAATAAATTCGTTAATTTCAAGATAAATTTTGTATCTTGAATTCGCATATTTTCTGTATAGTATATAATTGATGCTATAACATAACTGCGCCATCTTTAATTTCAAAAGAAGCGCGTTCTTTGCTGTATAAAACTATGTAGAGGAATATAAATTTGAGCCTAACGTGTTATTTTAGTTAGTTCAATTTTATGAGTGTAATATTACTCGGTAGACAATATTTTAATGTAAAGTTTGTGTTCTCTTTGAACGAAGAAAAGACTGAGCAATTGATATTGAAAATTATAAGGAAACGTTCAGAATGAATCGCCGATTTAATAATCCTGTTCGAACTTATGGAAGAAACAAAATTAATGAAGTAATAATTTCAGTACCAAAATTAGTTGTTTCAACTTTACACAATGTTGATAATAAAAAATGTGTTTTATTAAATGAAAAATCAGATGAAATTGCAAAGAAAGAAATTAACGATGATTCTAAATATTATGATGTTTTCGAGACAACATTTGATAAACTTCTTAAAAATGCAAGGTACGAAATTTTAATATTATTGTTTTGTTTATATGCAACAATTCAATTCCTTTTCTTCACAGAATTCCACCCAAAGCACCTAAAACGCGTGATACAACATTAAATAATAGTGCAAATAATAGTTCCAATTGGAGTATCAATAAATCTAAAATAGATAGTATAAAATTAATTTCTAAGCAGAAAGTATGCAAAAAACAAAAAATGCATGTTATAAAAAAAACAATTGTTAAAAAGAAGACATCTGTACTTCATAATAGCAGAAAATTTAAGGTAAGTGTAATTAAATTAATGATATTATAAAATAGTTAAAATAAAAATTATAAATTAATGGTATCATAGTTGTTAAAAATATATAATGAATATGTGTTATCAAATAGGTACAAAAAAAGGATACTTCTCATCAAAAATATAAATTACGTAACAGAAGAAATAACAGCAAAATAAGATCTGATTCTTTAAATTTAAGTTTAGAAGATATGATTTCTGAAAGTGAAGATTACAAACAAGCAAAAAAGAAAGCTACTAAGAAGCATTTGGCAATAAAAAGGAAAAAAGATACTGATGTTAAATTATTTTGCAATACAGAAGAGAAGTCATGTTTTGTGGTTTTAGATAGATGTGCACCAAAATGGAATAACAAATTAAATGTAGTAGAAAATAACTTATTACAGGAAACACATAAATGTATAGTAGAAACTGATCAATCATCAAACCAACATAAAATTACCAAAATACGTAATAACAATTTAAAACATGATGATGTATATGTGAAATTTGTTCAACAGTGTTCTGTTAAAGTAGAAAAGTTGAAAGTAGATTCATGTATAAAGCCAATTAACTCTGAGAAAAGATGTGAAAATTTGATCAGTAGTACACCAAATGATAGACCTGTTAGACCTTCTACTCATTTAATGCTATTATCACCAATTCCTATTAGATATTCTGAAAAATTAAAGAATTCTATGACATATGCAGACACTGTTTCAATAAGTAAAAATAATCAAATTTCTTTAAAATCCAAACAGACAAATAATGATTTATACAGAAAATCAGATGTATTAGAAAAACATGATTCTGAGGAAAAACCTAAGTCATTGTCTAATTATTTAACAAATACGTCTACTTTTAGCAAGTGTAATTTCAATCAATCAGAGAATTTAAACAAAAAGGACATTGATCCATTGATCAAACTTGACTGTAATAGTAACGACAACTGTGATCAAAATTTCATAGTGGCAAAGGATTCAGTGCAAAATGTTTTAACAAATGAAATGAAGAAAAATGATATATCAGATAAATTTGTATTAATGCAAAAATGTACAATTTCGAATACACAAAAGAAAAAACAACGTTTAAGTTTTTCTATTGATGCAAACACATCTCATTCTTTATTTGATGAAGCAGATGAAAATGATAAATATTCTATACGACCTTCTTGTGTAATTTTAGAAAAATTAAAAGATCCTATTAAAATTACAAAAAGAAGAAAATATAGTAAATGGGATCTAGATATGTTTACTATTTTAGAGGATGGTAGTAATAGTACTAAAGTGAAAGAAAAACAAATATCTTCAAAAAAAGCAAATGAAAATAGACAAATAATATTGCCAGAAACAGAATTGTCATTAAAAAATATAATGGAAGAATCTATTATTAATACATCTATACAGAAACCTGTATACTTAAAACCAGGAAAATTTTGGGCAAGATCTTTATCAATATTAAACAGTATACAGAATGAATTTAATTTGGACAAATTATCTATTGGTAAAGGTAAAAAATGGAGACATAGTGTTCAGGATATATTAAATATGCAAAAACAAGGTAGTTATAAAAAAGTTAAAGTATTTTAAATTTTTTATTTAATTCAAGATTTAAAACTTTTTAAAATTGATATTTTATGTTAAACTAATTGCTATATGAAGAAAGTTTAATGTAATATATGCATGAACAAACAGTTGAATGAAGTTTTTTTTATTTGACAAAACAAAATTTTTTTTAAAAATTTATTAACCTGAAAAAAAGAAATGAAAAAAATATATTATTTCGTAAATATTTCATACATTTAACAATATTTTTTGTGATAAATGGGTATGTCTTAAAAGTGAAACAAACAAATTTTTTATAAAGCATAATAATATCAATTGAATTCTAAATGTGTATAGGAATTGTACAAAGCTGTATAAGCAAATATAATAATGATAAAGAACGACAAATAACTAATGAAACCATTAATAAATTGGAACATGAATTGGCTAATAAGAAAGATAGGACCTGTGATTCTACCAAGCTTGGACGTCTTTCAAGAAGAATATCAGTTCGTGTTGTTCCAATTCATAAAACTGTAAAATCTATTGAAGATGTTCCATTTCTTGAAGTTTATGGTATTGTTCCTGTTAAGAGTCAGAGATTTACATTACTGAATAGTAAGTACATTCTTTATCTTTTGGTATCAAGGACTATTAGGTATGATTATATTTATTTTCATATAGACCCTCGAAAATCTTCTACATGTAATATTCAAAATGATGATGTTGATGGTCAAGTTATTGAAGAGCATGTAGTTTCAACAAGCAAGGAAGTTATTTTACAGAAATGTTTACAAAAGGATTATATACCATTTTCAACATGCTTCTCAGATTCGTGAGTATGTGCACATATAATTTTGAAAGTTGCTAAAAAATAATGATATAATAATTTCTTAGGTACTTGGATCACTGCCGAAAAATTGGTGAAGGTGTATATGGTGAAGTGTTTCTTTATGAAGAGGAAAATAAAAAGTCTGTTATAAAAATTATTCCTATAGAAGGCAATGAATATGTTAATGGAGAACCACAAAAAAAATTTCATGAAATATTATCAGAAATTGTAATTGCAATGTAATTACAAATATGGTATATTAGTAGTTACAATAAATGTTAATTATAATGTTCATTTTAAAAGAAAAATGATTTTAGGGAATTACATAATCTAAGATTCAACACAAAGTACAATACTGATGGATTTGTTGAAGTAAAAAGTATTAAATGCATCAAAGGAAAGTATCCAGAGAAACTTATAGAACTTTGGAACAGTTATGACGAAGAAAAACATTCAGACAATGATTGTCCATTAATGTTTAATGAAGATCAGTTATACATTGTTTTGGAACTTGGACATGGTGGTCAAGATTTGGAAGCATTTGTATTCAATACAGCAGAAGAAGCACATATTTTATTTATACAGGTTTTTATAACAATTTTACGTATATTAACATTTGTTTAAAATGTATAAATTTTCTTTCAAATGCACAATTGTGTGTGTGTAATTTATACAATTTATATAATTCTACAAATTGATGAAAGATAAATTTATTTATATTTAATCTTTCTCCAGCCTAAATATTAACAAATTTCCTTTTATAGACTGCATTAGCATTAGCGGTTGCGGAAAAAGCTGTCGAATTTGAACATAGAGATTTGCATTGGGGAAATATACTGATATCTCCAACTGATGAATCTCATGTGCATTATAAGCTTGGACAAAAGAACATTGAATTAATTAGTAAAAATGTAAAGGTATATTGAAAGAATCACTTTCTTTTTAAATTAATAGTGAAGTTTTAGAAAAATAAATTGAAATATTAAATTTTTTGTATTAGGTATCTATTATAGACTTCACTCTTTCAAGAGTAACATATCAAGGATGTAGTGTATTTAATGATCTTGCTTCAGATCCTACACTTTTCACAGCTCAGGGTGAATATCAATTTGAAATATATCGTTTGATGAAGGATAAAGTTACGTGAGTATTTAAATATAATCGTTAAGTATTAATAAGTAATATACTTACCTAGAAATTATTTCAGAAACAATTGGCAGAAATTTGAACCTTATACAAACATTTTATGGCTGCATTACACTTTAGATAAAATGATCACAGCAGTTAGATATAGAAAAAGAAACTTAAAAAGTCATAAAAATGGTATAATGAAACTTAAAGAATTGAAAAACGAAATTTTAATATACAGCAGTGCCTTTGATTTTGTAACAAATTGTGATAAAATTGTTAATTTATTGTGCATCGATACAAAATTTGAATTAACACCAGTATGAAAAAAAATATATATATATATGACAGTATCTGAAAGATGCACAGGAATATAAATTTCTTATAAATACTTAATATACATATATAGTATAGTCTGTGACATATAAATAAGTATAAATGACGCAAATATTAACATATTAAGGAAAAAAGAATTATGTAGAAATAAAAATCAGAAAAACATGCGAATTTAAAA